CCCCCCCCCCCCCCCCGGTTTTCAGGGTGAAAATTGTTGGCGCAGAAAATCACTGAAATGTTCTGACTGTTCACAGAAATCGTACAACTATCTATCACATTAGCATTCGCTCCACAAAGAAAATGTGTCATGTTTCAGCTGCTTTTCCTTAAAAAAAAAAAAGAGAGAGACCTGCTTCCACACACACACAAATATGTATATACTTAAAACCAAAAATTCCTTGTATTAAATTGGATGTTGGGGGGGAATTGTGTCATGTTTCTGCTAGATCACTTCCACACACACACAAATATGTATATACTCAAAACCAAAAATTCCTTGTATCAAATTGGATGTTGGGGGGGGGGAAGTGTGTCATGTTTCTGCTACATCAGTGGTTCCCAACTTGGGGTGCCCAGATGTTCTTGGCATCAAATCTCCATCTTCCCCTCTCTAGATCAGTGGTTCCCAACCTTGGGTCCCCAGATGTTCTTGAACTAAAACTCCCAGAAGCCTTCACCACCAGCTGCGCTGGCCAGGATTTCTGGGAGCTGTAGTCCAAGAACATCTGGGTTAGCCAAGGTTGGAAACCACTGGCATAAATCATCAAATCTCCATCTTCCCCTCTCTAGATCAGTGGTTCCCAACCTTGGGTCCCCAGATGTTCTTGAACTAAAACTCCCAGAAGCCTTCACCACCAGTTGTGCTGGCCAGGATTTCTGGGAGTCGTAGCCCAAGAACATCCGGGGATCCAAGATTGGGACTGACTGTGCTGGAGGGATCATCTTCAGAGGAGGAGAGAAAGTCAGATGGCACAGAGAGCAAGTCTCTAAAGCCTCTGGACTCTAAGGAAGAGTTGTAGTATCTCCTCCTGAAAAAGCAGCGAAACCAGTTGTAGAATTAGGGCTTCCTCCCAGTCTGAATAGAGGTGACCCATTAACAGGGGTGAACTCCTTAGTATTTTTCAACTGCAGTGCCTAGAATTTGGCAGGAATTCTTGAGAATTGCAGCCCATAAACCCAAATCTGCACACCTGTAGGTTATGGCCCTCCAGAGAAAGGCTTTCAAGTTATTTGCCTCCCTTGATACAGCTTTTTCCCAACATTGGCTTTTAGGTCCTGTTGTTGATTTGCACAAATAAGAAAGCTGCAGCAGTTTTTTTTTTCTTGGGAGTCATAGTTCACTGCCCATTAGCTTCTCTGGAGGGCTCCTGCCAAAGAACTAGGAGTCCCAGGAAAAGCACGCCAGCGGTGCCCATCTACTCCGGAATGGGAACTTGGTCCTGAAAACTCATTCATCCCTGAATGAAGGGATCCCAAAGTGTGCTTGGGTTTACCTGGGAAGACATTCCATGGCATGGATAAAGAATAGCTTTGTCATCATCTTCTACGCCCTGGTCTAAGCAGTAGCCACTGGCTTTGCTGTTGCGCACCTGAAATCAGAACAGAAAGGGGGGGGAAGGGTGGCAGTTCCATTGGTCTTATTATAAAGGATTAATTCCATAATCATAGCTTGATCAATTAAAGGACAGCTCATCTCAGACTAAATACTGCATCAGCCCATTCTGGTTAGTACTGATGGCTTGCTTTCACTAAAGATCAGTGGTCCCCAACATCCCCCAGATGTTCTTGGACTACAACTCCCAGAAGCCTTCATCAGCACCTCTGCTGACCAGGATTTCTGGGAGTTGAAGCCCAAGAACATCTGGAGGCCCAAGGTTGGGGACCACTGCTATAGATCTCCAAAGGAGACCAACAGTTCGGTTTGCCAGGCGGCAATGAGCCAGCTTCCTTCCTGCCTTTTATGGTTTTGGAATCAGACTCCACAGCATGAGAGACAGGGCCTCAAGCCTTGTGGAAATCCTAATTGATCTTTTATTGAGACAAAGCATCTGTTCCTGCTGTGTACCAGTGGCTTCAGGTTTTTATTTCCTCCCACCATCCAGATGATGCGAAGCTTGTCTCAATAGCTTCTGTGTTTTTCTCTGTCAGCTCCCAATTTTTTGTTGTTTTAATTGCTCCTGAAAGCGTAGTTTATTTTGCTAGGTGAAGTTGAATGCCACGGGGAGGCCTACAGACAGTTCATTCCCACATCAGAGGATCTTGATTGGAAGGTTTTAAATTAGCACAACAACAAAAGTAATAGTGGGTCTCAAGTACAGATACTGCTTTCCAGCCAGGATCTTAAAGCAAAGCAGTTTTCCAAGACATGGGTCTTTTTTCAGTTTTGGTATGGACACACATCCCATTAACCCCATGACCAGCGGGGAGAAATTGGGACAGGGTGTCCCAATTGTCCCCAAAATGATCATTCCAGCACAAATCTCCACCTCTGGAAATTTGTGCACGGGCTCATCAGTACTGAATTCAAAACAGGACTCCTTGGACAGCCATATGTATTCTAACAGACAGCCCCACATTTCAAGAACCAGCTAATCCACCCCATCAAAAAAATCTTTTGGGGGCAACAATGGTATGATCAAGTTACATTTCAAAAATAACAAAGCAAGAGGTCGCAAAGGTCACCGGGTCAGTTTTATGATTTGGTGAGGACTCGAACCCAGATCTCCCCTGTCTCAATCCAACACACCTTAACCAGTGTACTACACGTTGACCCTCAGTCTCCAGTTCAAACCCCAACCCATCCAGAAGTCATTAAATGGGCTTAAACATTAGATGGATCTTTCCTAGCTCTTATCTTTTTTGATAGTGATCATGTCTGCCTCATCCTCATTACCTCCTTAGAAACTGAGGTTTATCATATTGTCCTTGGTGCAATCAGCTTAGGGGAGACCCATTCCCATTTTCCATGTCCCTCTTCTGACCATTTCTTCACAGAAAACTTCCCAACTTTGCAGAGCTTAATGCCACCCTCCTTTTTTGGTGAATCCTGCACAGGAAAGATAACAATCCTACACAGTATGGTATTTCTTCTGCCCTTTCCAGGGGATTCCTGCAGAGGAAAGATGCTACTTTGCCCAAGGATTGTACTACCCCCATACAGGATAGCAGTAGAGATGGGCATGAATCAAAAAAATGAACCAGGAAATTCTTCCAAAATACAATTTTTTTGAGAGTCAGCCCTGCTGGCTCTCTGCCAGGTGCCTCTGTGCATGCGCAGAGAGACAGGAACAGCAAAAAGTATGGTGGCGACGGAAGGGAGTGGATGGGGCAGTGGGAAGGGGCCGAACGGACAAACAGATTCGTGGTTCATTCAGTGGTTTGTGGTTCATGGATGTCCACGAACCCCAAACCAAGAGGAACCACAATTTTGTGGTTCGTGCCCATTTCAAATTAGCACTTCTAGAAAAAAAGCGACCACAAAACATCTGAGAAATCTCACAAGATACTTACAACATAGGCTAAAGTATCCTACAGCAAAATGTGGCTGCGAGGGGAGATTCCCCCCACCTCAGTTTCCCCTAGGATTGAAAGGCTCCAAGATTCACATCTTGAGACAATCGCAACCACACTGATAGCCATTGAGTATCATACATTACCTCTCCGTAGGTGATGGTATCATTGTAGATCCTCATTTCCGGATAGACGTGCTCTAAATACCACTTAAAACTCCGGCACTGGAGACGTTGTCGTAAAGCTACTCGTTCCGAAACATCTCCAAAGTCAACGCCGGGGTTCTGCAGGAGCATAATAAATGCCAAAAGTTCGTTAGGCCATCTTTACCACTGAGTTCATTACTTCAATAATGCTCACGGTTCATTTTGCTTAAAAGCTGCTTCCACCATCACCCCTCCGGGGTTTCTAAGTATCCCTCCCCCCTTTCACCTCTCTCGCTGTGTAAGCAGCTTCTGAGTCTACAGCTGTCATTGGGAACAAGGAATAAATATTAATGAACATTCAGTAGCTGGGGTGGGGAACCAGATGATCTGAAGCTGGTGGAGGGAGGGCATAAACATCTGAACAAGCAGAAGACGGCAGTATTTAATTTACAGCCTGCAAGAGCGCTGTACAGAAACAGCGCTGCGCAGAAACAGGTGCACAGAAAAGCTGATTTATGCAAATAGCACACTCCGTGTGAGCTGAAAATATCACATTGTAGCATGAGGGTAGGAAACCTCCTTTTCCAGCCTACGGAGATGAGTTTCAGACAAGCTCTTATAGGCAAAGGTGTGTGGGGGGGATGTTAATCACTGACATATTTTAATTTCCAGCTCTTAACCAAGCCTTTGGGTAAATTTTTCAACGTCTTAGATAAGGAAAAGTCCTCTTACCAAAACTGAGAAGCCACCAGATGTTGTTATCATGGAGAAGAGGGGATGGAATTGTGGGGAATTCCAGAACGGGCTGGATTGAGCCTCACGGCCTGATGTTCCCGACCCGTTGTAGCGTTCTCCCTCTACGCATTCTGCGTATAGGCCAAGGAGCATATGGACTGAGCCGCCCATGCTTTCAGCTATCTATCAGTACACATTTCTAAATATATATATTCTGTGGATGTCCTGGCATTGCCTTTAGTGCGAAGCTCGGTTACATCATTTTTGCTTCTTGGGATGTGACTCATCTCCTCTGTCACTTCTTGATCTCTTGCATTCAAAAATGTGGGCATGTTCCTCCCTGTAAATTAACCATGCTGTAGTGGCAGAGGCCGGTCAAGAGGTCTCAGGAAGCCACCCAATCCCTAGCATTGTTGTTAAATTATTATTTTTAAAAGCCTTTCTTGCTTTCCATGGTCCTATGTTGACGCCATATCTGTCACATCATTCAAAAGCCTTAGTGAGCCTGGAAAAAAATTGTACTCCAGTGGAGAAGGGCAGGGTGATGGATTTTTTTGTCCATCCCAAAGGTATGATTTAATGGGCTATGATGGATAGATAGATGGTTGAGTTAAGAACTGTGTCTCAGAACAGGAGTAAGGGCAAACCCCAAAGAATAAATAAAGACCAAATAGCCTCAGAAACTTAGATTAGGTTTGTGGGAATCAAAATTTGTAGAAAAGCAATGAGATCTCAGGTGCCCTTCCTTTGAAATCCTGCCCAGCCTCCCACTCACCGTCATTGGTATGTTCCATGCCATGTACACATGTGACTTGAAGTCATCCATCCAGACTTCCGCCGCTCGCAAAGCATTGCGCTTTGCGTAGTAATCGATGTCATTGTTGTACGGCTTCTTTGTGCGCTCGATGTGGGCCACCCGGGAGCACGGCAGCACCTCCATACTTCCTCCACATTGCCAGACCTGGAAGGACATTTAAAAACAAAAAGGAGGGAATGATTTATGGAAAGAAGTTGGAGCAGGAATGCAAATCTCTCTACCTTTCCCTTCTGGGAAGAAATTGAGACTGATTCCCCCCCCCATGGGAGAATTCCTAGAGGAAGACTCAAACTTTTCATCACCAGGTTTGTTCCAAAAGAAATGTGAAGCTGTGTGGGATTGTTACCATTTTTTTTACAAAAAGGTATCAGTCCTGCACAGGATTCACTAGAAAGGGCATTATCCTGTGCAGGAATGAATTGTTTCCTGTGCAGGACAGTGTGCAAAACAGCAAAAATATTATAAAAAGGGAAAATGAGTCTGGGTTCTCATTTTTATGGGAGGCTAGGAAATCTTGATGATGCTGGGAGACTCGACATGTTGACACAATGAAAAAGATTTGCACACACAGATCACCTCCATAACTCGGAGTCACCCAGGGGAAGTGGCGAGCCTGTCTATAGCAGGCATCTGTAATTTAATTGGTCCAAATTTCAGTCCCTAGTACCTCCAGTTAGCATAAAAGAGAGGAGTTTACAGTGGTCAATATTCTTCCCTCATGACCCACTGTGGGCCAGATCAGCCCTAAAAAATGAACTGTCCCCACAAATCTAAGTAGGAAAAGAGCTAGGTAGCCACTGCTGGGTTTGTTTGGGAACAAATATGGGGGTTTCTTTCATTTTCCAGGAGCAGAATTTTTTTTTGGCCAAATATGTTAGGGGGCAGAGGATCTTAGAAGGCCCTGGGAGGATCTCGAAAAGTTTGTGAGAGCCACATGTAGTCCAGAGGCATCACACTTTGTCCACCCCTCAGTCTGAAAGATCAGAGAGCAGGTGAGACCCTAGATAGCTACAGAGAATCCGATCATCACGATTCATCACATTGGACTAATAGTTTTGCTTGGTGGGAAGCAGATTTCTATATAGAAAAGGCTAGGAAACATATCCACTGAATGGCTGGAAAGCTCATACGAGCCTCATGGTGCAGTGGTTAAACTGCTGTACTGCAGCCAAAACTCTGCTCATGACTTGAGGTTCAATCGCAACTAGCTGGCTCACTCAGCCTTCCAGCCTTCCAAGGTCAGTAAAATGTGTACCCAGCTCACTGAGGGGGGCGCAATATGTAGCCTGCATAATTAATTTGTAAAACCCCCAGAGAGTGCTTTAAGCTCTGTGGGGCAGTATATAAACAGCACGCTTTAGATCTCTGGCAACAAAGCCAGAGGTTGGGAGTTCGATTCCCCCACTGGGCCTCCTTCACAGGAGCAGGACTGGATGATCTACAAGGTCCCTTCCAGCTCTCCAGTTCTAAGATGATGATATAATAATAGTATCCACAAGAAATCATAACAGCTCAGGGGCAGTTTATCCAAAGAAGAAGACGAATCTTAAATGCTCTGCAGATGGAAAGACTAGGCACCTGGAAGAGAACCGAACTAGAAAAAAAATTGGAACAACTGCTGCAAACAGAGAAACCTTCTTTTCTCGACACACAAACTGCACGTGGCTTTGTAGCCAGTTCCAGTGTCCTCAAGTGATGTGACAACTCATTTCCTCCTGAATGCCCGTCAGCTGCTCTCAATTCAGGACAAATATAAAGATCTGTTGATGATGGTTTACAAGAACCCATTGTGAGCGTGATCAATAATGCTTGTATAGGAAGGAATCCTTGAATATATGAAACCCTAGAGAACAAGATCAGAGCCATTGATTTAGTTCCCGGGTGGCTATTTCTCCAAGGACAAAATGGCCTTGAGATGCAGGATAATATAATTTCATGCTTCTTCTTCTGCTTCTTCTTCTTCTTCTTCTTCCTTTTAAATGCATGATACATTTTCCAGACTAAAATGCTCATATCGCAGGACAAGTCTTCTTCTTCTTCTTCTTCTTCGTCATTCTTTTAAATGCATGATACATTTTCCAGACTAAAATGCTCATATTGCAGGATAAGAGAAGCCACCAAACAATGGCAGAGTGCTCTTTTTAATGAGAGCCAGTGGGGTGCAGTGAATAGAGCTGATGAACTAGGGTTCAGGAGATGAGAAGCCACCAAACAATGGCAGAGTGCTCGTTTTAATGAGAGCCAGTAGGGTGCAGTGAACAGAGCTGATGAACTAGGGCTCAGGAGATCAAGGCTGGAGGCATTCAACTGGACAACTCTCCGTCAGATCTGCTTTGATTTGGATTCCTGCCTTGGGCAGGGGGTTGCAGTCTGTGGCCTTAGAGACTCCTTCCAACTCAATTATTCTATGATTCTATGACCTGGGTTCAAATCCCTGCTCACCCATGGAAATTTCCTAGGGGTAACACTGGTAAAGCTACTCATTTAATATTTCCTCTATTTTGGAAGCCTTATAACCCGATTGGCATACCTGGCTGCAGAAGTGGGATTCTCTCCTTATGTCTCCTGGGAGAAGAGTCATCCTGCTTAACCATGGGCACACTGCACAGTCCCAGAGGACTAGCGGAAAAAGGATCTGGTTAACCTCTTTGGGGTATTCTATCCCTAGAAAACCCTGGGAAAGGTCATCATGACTCAAGATGAGTTGACGTCAAATGATTTGGGTTGTGTACCAAGTTAGATGAAATCTGGTGGCATGGGGGGGGGAGTAAACCTGGCAAATGATATCCAGTGTTGTGTCGTGGGTAGAATGATAGACCAGGGCTCAGGAGACCTGGGTTCAAATCCCCATTCAGCCATGGAAGCTCACTGGTAAAACTTCTTTAATATCTCCCCTACCTAGGAAAATCTAGCAGGGTTTCTGTACATCAGCTGCCACTCAATGGCACTTAGCAACAACCACTTACTTTAAAAGTGAAAAGGGATAGGGGAAAGACTGCAAAAAGAGAAGAGTTTCAAAAATGGCCCAGATTCAATCTATGAATTCTAGATTGAGGTTGTATTTTTCCAAATCAGCTAGCTGTTTATGGTAGATTCTGGACGGTGTCTGGTCTTCCTGCTTCACTTTGTCCTTGGGTAGAGCCACAGGACACCTAAGACTTTTGGTCAAAGATTGATTCATTCCAAAAGTGGTGCTGGAGGAGAGCTCTACAGAAACTGCAGACAGCAACGAAGACAAAAAGTGGTGCTGGAGGAGAGCTCTGCAGAAACCGCAGACAGCGACGAAGACAAAGTGGATCCTAGATCGAATCAAGCCTGAACTCTCCCCAGACACAAGATCAAATCAAGCCTGAACTCTCCCCAGACACAAAAAAATGATGAAACCAAGGCTGTCATGCTTTGGGAACCTCATGAGAAGACAAGACTGGCTGGAAAAAGACAATAAGGCTAGGAAGAGTTGAAAGTAGCACGAAAATAAGACCAAACATGAGATGGGTTGACTGAACAACGGAAGCCCCAGCTTTGAGTTTGCAAGAGCTGAGCAGAGCTGTTCACGATAGGACATTTTGAGGCCACTCCTTCTGTTGGGTTCCATAAGTTGGTGGCAATGTAATGGCACACAACAACAACAACACTCTACAAATATTCTTATTGCCTGTTCTTGGTAGCCCAATGTAAACCATAACTTGGATCAGCCTCAGGCTGCATTAATAAGGGTCAAAGCTGATGGAAGTCGTAGTCCGCCAACATCTGGAGGGAACCTGTTTCCCAACCCTTATTAGAAAAGATAATGCCACCAGTGGAGGCAACTGCCATCATTAATTCCCGAGATAAATATTGCTAATTTGAGGACTGTAAACAGAAAGGAAAGCTGTATAAATGTTGGTACCCTTGCATTCCCTTAATCATGAGGCTGCTAATTAGCTTAATCAGCTTGGCATAGCTGAAACATCATACTAAGTATCAGGTGGAAGGCACTATTCCCCTGATCCATGCTTGGGTGATACTGTTCGCATTTTATGCACTGAGGTTTTCTTAAGGCTAGTTATAAACCATACCTGTCAGCCTGCGATATCATGTTCTATATTGAAACAGAATGGTATTGGATTTAATTTCACCCTGGCAGCGCTGTTTCAAGAGCCTAAAGAGACTTCTGATTTGGCTCTGCTTCAAATCGTGCGCACACATTTCAAAGCAGCAGCGAGAAGTATGTGATATTCAGTGGAGACAGGGAAAGAGGAGAAAAACCCAACTGGATGGGATCAAAGTGGTGTTTAGGTCATATTCTTGTTTGTCACAAGGGCCCACAAGCAGAGTGTGAAGGATGTGAGTGACCCATTTATGTATGTACTAGTAAATCAGGGATGTGCAATGGGTGATGAGCTGCAAATCCCATGTGTGATGGGATGTAAGAATGGTGGAAAATGTCTGGAGCTAGAATGCGATGGCTACATTGGTTCTCCACCAACCCAAGCTTGTTGTAGCTTTCCTTCTGCCTGGGAAGGAGCAGCCCTAGGTGACAGAAGCACTCAGGATGGGCAAGTTTGCACCCTCTGAGAAGCTAACCCCAAAGGGTGGCTTCATGCCCTTTCAAAAGCAAATACCCCATCTCATTCCATTCTAATTCTGGCCCTATATTGTGCCCACTTTCAGTTTGGTCTGGCAGTCGCCGGCTGATTTTAGGGAGCGCTTTTGAAAGGGAAAGGGACGTGGTGGCACTGTGGGCTAAGCCGCAGAAGCCCGTGCTGCAGGGTAAGAAGACCAAGCAGTCATAAGATCAAATCCACATGGCGGAGTGAACGCCCGTCGCTTGTCCCAGCTCCCGCCAACCTAGCGGTTTGAAAGCATGCAAATACGAGTAGATAAATAGGGACCACCTCGGTGGGAAGGTAATAGCGTTCCGTGTCTAAGTCGCACTGGCCATGTGACCACGGAAGATTGTCTTCGGACAAAACGCTGGCTCTATGGCTTGGAAACAGGGATGAGCACCGCCCCCCAGAGTCGAACACAACTGGACAAAAATTGTCAAGGGGAACCTTTACCTTTACCTTTTTTTTGAAGGGGAAGAAAAAGGACATTCGTTTTGTGCAAGAGCCTTTTGCACAAAACCAGAGAGAGTCTGACAAAGAGAAATAAAGGGTTCC